TGCTTACATTTGCAAAGGATTGCTCTTCTGTTTTCCACACAAAATAAAACTTATTATGTATTAATTTTTCATAGAATTATTCAGGGGGAAAAAAAGCAGAAAAGCAGCTTCTCTATGTGTTTTACTTCATTGGTAACTGAATATGGGTTTTTAGAATTCACATAATAATGGTGGGAATTATTAGCCATCTCAAATACGAAAAGGGAGGAGTTTTCATATTTCCACTGACATGATGTGGTGGTGCATTTTTTGAGTGACCTTAAAACACTTGTTTCGTGACAGATGGTTATTGGATTTAATACTGTGCTTAATAAAAATATGCAAGGATTCTATTACATCAGAGTGACTGAACAGTGAAGCCATTAAAACTTCCATGGAAGCTTCAAAGGAGGACTGAACACTGCAGACACTGCTCAAACTTCATAATACCACTAGAGATAAAAAGAGAAGTTTTGTATTGTTTCAAGAGTTGCAGATCACTGAAGCAAAAGGACAACTTTCTGCAAACCCACAGGACTAACAGTGAGTCCAACTAGCTGTTGCAGAGAGTCACGGTGTGCAGTGCAGCCCCTAAGTGATCATCCATAAGTTATCCAGCCTGTAGCCTCAGGCCAGAAGGAGAAGGGAGACCCAGCATGGAGTGAAACTGGAGCTACCACTGCTTTTGCAGGAAAAGTGGAAGTTACTACTAAATTGTTACTACCACAGTTGGCAGCAGGGTACAACAAAATTCTCCCTCTGTAAAGATGGTACCTGAGCAAACCAGTAGCCAAACAGACAGCAGGCAGAAAAATTTACATACCCACAGAGTTATAATTATTTGATGTTAGCATGTCAAAATCCCAAGAGCAAATTAGGTCCTTTTTTTGTTTACCAGGCTCCAAAGAAAAGAAACGGTGACTCTCCCATTCTAAGTCTGGCAGAGGAGGTACAGAGTAAGAGTGTTTTAATTGCCAGTTTTCAAGCACTGTCCAAATAAACTGTTCTGCTACTAAGCTGTGACTGATATGCCTTCATTTGATATGGCTTAAGATGAATTTTTGGCACTTTTCTTACATCTCTGCATTTTCACCACTGTAGTGTTAAAAATAGGGGGAGGGAGCAGGGAGAGGGATTAATTAAAAATCATTATAAAAATAACCTAAAAAACTGCATCCTTGACTAAATAGTGTCCAATATTCATTTTGCTGGATTTCTATATGACTGCCCAAGAACTAGAGAATGGTTTTGGAAGCTATTAATTTACTCTTTGACATGTATAGCTTTTCTTTAAAAAAATAAAAACAAACTAAAAACAAACAAACAAACAAAAAACCAACAAAAAACCCAACAATAAAATCCCAAACATCATTACTAATATCTTTGTTTGTTTGGGGTTTTTTAGCTTTTCTTTGGGTAGGGGGATTTGTTGTTGTTGCTGCTGGGAGGTGTCTGATCACAAATAAAGCAGTAATAAAGCAAAGTGAGTACCGTTTCAGCTTCAGAAAGAGCTTTACATCTGATGCTGTGAGAAGATCCTTCTGTTGCTGTGTTTTATTTCTACAGTGATATATGAGAGCTTCGGTAATTCTGGTAGCTCTCTCAGATACACAGAACTTTCGATATCAACACATTAACAAAACTGTAGCATCTGACAAGCGTGGAAGAAGTTCAGTTCCATCTGAAAAATTCTGGGTGGGAACAGTGGGTAGAGGGCAGCAGCTCCTCCTTTACAAGGACTCTCTGCTCCAGGGTCCCATAGGCACCATATCTGTCCCCCTTTCATTCACTACTGATGCTGTTGTGATTGATGGGGGGTGGGCTACACTGTTGTCAGGATGCTAATGCTGAACTCTGCATGCCTATTTTAGCAGATCCAGACACACCAAAAGCCCTTATCCTCCCAGCGTCCACAAGAAACTGAAAGAATGAGGCTGACCAGTTGTCACACAGGATATGGATAATATGGCAATGATGCTGAGTGGCACACAGGAGTGAGAACATATGACCTTTCTTTTAGGTACAGATGACTCAATTTCTCCTATCAAAATTATTCACAATTAAAAAAATAATACAAATTATTAATCTTCTCTGTGGTGCAGAGAGCTGTTAACAGCTCTACACTTTGGGTATATATCAAATTATAGCTTTTCTCTCTCATGATGATTTCATGAGCTTTGAATTGCCTCTGACCATTAACTAGAAATGCACTTAACCTGAGATTAATCTTGAAAGACAAGAAATAAAAGATAATTCTGTGCAGGCCTTCCAAGACATGAATTAATCCCAGTCTTTGACACAAAATGGTTTTATATGGTGAAATAACAAATGATCTATCCATATCTCCCTGTGAGGTCCCACATCTGTAGTGTTTACCCTAAGAAATCTAGGGAGGAGAAATGCTTATCCATGCTCATCACTGACTTTCTCTACTTCACCCTGGAATAAAGCTAGTGCTTCATTTCCACTCCATTTCAAAACATGGTCACCCCTGTACCTGCGTTCCTTAGCAAAATATTGTTTTTCATTAGAAAGATACAGAAGAATCCAGGTTATGAAGTGACTGCAGATCTTTTACAGGAGGAAAGGCAAAATACCAGTTATTGTTTATAAACCTGTAAATGGTCTATGGTCAAGGAACATTGGAAATTCTCTCTCCCTCTCTAACCATGAAAAGGAAGAAATTACAGCCTCTGAAGAAACAAGGCAGAGCAAAGAGTTGCCATACATCTGAGTAACCAGCATGTATAGTCTTCTGTGGTGTCTTCAGGCATCATGTATGGTTTTGACTTGAAACTGCTGCTCATCACAAGGTGGCCAGATTATATTCTCTTTTTGGTTCACCATATATTTACATTCAAATCCTCTTGTGATATAAAACACTTTTGTGACTTTTACAGTATACCTGCAGTGCTTTAATAGTTTTGAACTGCTTAAAAGACTTATAAAACTTAGCACCTTGCCAAGATAGCTGCAGTATCTTGTACTACTCACATTTGCTCAGCAGTAAGAAAAGCAAGTTGGACTTCTGCTTCAATAAGAACAGTAAACTGGACTTCAAATTATTTCCCTCAAGCAGAGGCTCACAGAAATAGCACACCCGCATCATTTTAACGGGATGTTTAGGACATTTTACCTTTTGTTAGGTGTTGCAGACGTTTTTCTTTTAACTATCGACACACTGCAGCGATCTGATTTGGGAGGAATTTATCCCTGGGGAAGCTTGAATCACACTGTCCTGGTCCCAAGATCCGAGCAGAGCTGGAGGGAAAGTGTCCTCAGCTCTGCAGGACCCTGTCCTCCCTGCCCCTCTTCAGCCCTCCTCCCGCTTTACCAGAGATCACTTCAGGGGTCACTCACCTCCCTATCCCTCTGTTCCTGCCGCCTCAGTCCCCGGAGGAAAGCGGGGAGCGGATCCCCGTTTCCCTGAGGTTTCCGAAGGGGAGAACCGCTCCAGGGGGTGTCCCCAGGCCGCTGCGCCGCCAGCGCGTGTCAGAAGGATGCACTGAGGTGTGTCCCTCCCCCCAAAATTTCTAGACGCTTTTCCCCAGGGGCTGAGCGCTGCCGAGGTGCCGCGGGCTCTGCCCGAGCTGTGGATCCGACCTGTTGCTTTGCGTTTTACACGCAGAGCCGCCCGCTCATAGGATTACCGCGGTAATCCGAGATGTGTGAGAGAGACGCGTTTCCCCTCTCAACCGCTTTCAAAGCCCCGCGGTGAGCTCAGAGCCGCCGGCCCCAACCTGAGGGCCAGACCTGCTGGTTGCGGACATCCCCGAGGGGGCGGCCCGGGGGAGGCAGGAGCGCCGCCTGCAAGGGGATACCTCTCTCCTGGCTGTAACGCTTTATGTATGATTTTAACCATGGCGTCTCTCTCCTCGCCAAAAGCCAAAACTCAGGGAGGGCCCCAGGTGCTGCAAAACCTGGGGGAGACCAGGGATGCCCCGCGTTACCACATCACCTGTTCTTGCAGGGCTCACTCCGGGACGGATCCGCAGGTAGGTCCTAGCGCCCATGGGGCACCCTGCGCTTCTCCCCGGACAGCGCCGCGCCGCCGTCCTCTGGCCCTACCCCGAAAGGAAGCGCTGCCCGGCCCCCTGCCCGGGAAAGACCCTGAGCATGAGGTGAGCTGCGGGCACAGCGCTGCGCCAGCAGCGGGAGGTGAGCGGGCCTGCCTGCTCTTCCCGGAGGGTAGCACCCGTCTCCCATGCCTGGCTCGGTTACCCCGGGAGCCGTATAATCCCAGACGCCCCCTCCCGCTGCTCCTCAACCGCCCACCGACGGGCGGGCTTTGTTTTCAAGGCTCAGCTTGGCAGAGTCTGCTGAGCAGCTAATAACATAACAACTCGGCTTTGATCAATCCGAACTAATTACCCCTCTTAATTAAAGTCTTTAGCGGTTGTTTCAGTGTTTTGGCAAGGACGCGGGAGAGCTTTGCCGTGCGGCAGCGCCAACGCCGCGGTCCCCGCCCGCCCGGCCGCACCGCAGCCCCGCCGCCGCAGTCACTCCTCGGCAAAGGTTTATTTCCACCAGGTCAACGAATTCTTTCTTTTTTTTTTTCCCTCCACTTGCAAGAATCAATCCGAAATTCAAATCCGTACATAGAGAACAGTTCTGTCCATATAGATACTATATTCAGGGGGAAGAGGGAGAGGAGGAAACCAAGAAGGGTGGGATAACCAGCAGGCAGCAGAGGCAGGACAGGATCAACACAGTGGGGATATATATACATCGAAATAATTATAAAGTGGTTCAGCGTTCCCCGCTCGGGTAATACAGATCCCAAATAAATACAGCAGAAATTGGCTTGGCGCTTTTTCTTTCTTTTTTAAAACCATCTCTCCATCTGAGATGCAACGACAACAACAACAAAAAATTGAGTCTTTAAAGAACAAACGAAAAAAAATAAAAAAAACCCAACAATCAGTCCCATAAACGTTAGTGGCGATATAGAGCATAATACACAAAACCGCTTAACAGGTGCATGCAAAGAGGCGGTGGGGGCTCGCACGGGCGGCCGCCCCTCAGGGCTGGAGCGGCGGCGGGCCCGGCAGCAGCGGCCCGGGCGGGGGCGGTGGGTCGGGCCCCCCCAGCTCGGCGGGGGGCCGGGGCAGTCCCAGGGCGCTGTCGTGCAGCTTGCGGACGTGCTTCTTGAGGTCAAAGTTCCTGCAGAAGCCTTTGCCGCAGGTGGGGCAGGTGAAGGGCTTCTTGTCGTTGTGGGTGTGCATGTGGAAGGTCAGGTTGTACACCTGGTGGAAAGCCTTGTTGCAGATATTGCACTTGAACTGCTTCTCCCCGCTGTGAGTCAGCTTGTGGTTTTTGTAATTGCCTGGGAACGAGACAAGAAGGGCAAAGGGATCTGGGTTTGCAAGATCGACGTTGCAAAAGGAGAAAAATATAAGAATCCCCAAACCCTGTCCTGTGCCCAGAGCTCGGCATTAGGCTTAAACGACCGCCGATCTCTCAGCAAATGCCCACCTTCTCATCATCATCCCCGCGGCTGTTCCTCGGACAGACGACAAGGGAACGATCGAAAAAACAAAAATCGCGATAGTTGCAGAAATAAAACGCCTGGATTTAGCCTTCCCAGCAACGCGGGGGGGGGGGGGCGGGGGAGAGAGAATAACTAAATTCTTGCATTTGGAGGCGAAAAAAATCAGCGAACTTATTTGCCGAATCGCGCTGGAAGCTGCGTGTTGCAGTGCGGGGGGAAGGGGCTCTTCCCGCGGAATGACTGCCCCGCGCTCCCCCCGGAACGAGACCTCTGCCCTGCTCCGTGGGCTAGGCCAAAGGAGATACGTCGGGGCTAGCGATACTTAAAATTAACCTAAATAGCTAATAACAAATATTTAAAACAAAATTAACTCCCCACCAGCCTTCCTGTCGCGAATTGTCCCGACACTTGACCTCGACTGGGGAGAGGAAAGCGGGGCAAGAGAGAGTGAGCTGGAGACTGGTACCTTTCTGGTGAAATCCTTTGCCACAAAATTCACAGACAAATGGTTTATAGCCGGCGTGTATTCGAGTGTGCGTGTTCAGCGTCGAGCTCCTGTTGAAGGCTTTGCCGCACTGGTTGCACTTGTGTGGCTTTTCCTGGAGAGAAACAAACACCAAGTCACGGCTTGTTGGCTGTTTTGCGGGGTCTGTCTTCTGGTTGCCGGGGTCTGTGTGCTGTTTTGCGTGGTGTATGACCTAGTTTGTGGGGTGTATGTGTTAACTGACGGCTCGCAGCTGCCGGTGCGGGACACCCGGAGGTACCTACCGCGCTTGGGGCAAACGACATCCCCCCGCGGCTCTGGATCGGCCGCCCCACACCGCACGCCGCTGCCTCAGAGCAGTCGGCCATCGCCGAGCAACCCGAAAAACGTGAGTGGAGGGTCTTGGGCAGAGAGGAAGGGACGGAGAGGGCGCTCACCTGGGTGTGGATGATCTTGTGCCGGCAAAGCGTGCTCGCCTGTCTAAAACCCTTCCCGCAAACTTTGCAAACAAAGGGTCTGGCTCCCGTGTGCACTGGCATATGGCGCGTTAAGTTATAATGTGCATTAAATACCTGTAAAGAGGAATCAGACAAAAATAATTAAATGAAATTGCTATTAGAAGATGAGAGTGATGAGGGAAAGTCGTCGTTTAAAAATCAAGCAAACAAGGGACTGACAACCGGCGGACAGACGAACGGGGACAGGAGGCCGAGGAAGGGAAAGGGGCTGCGGCGCTACTTGCCTTTCCACAAACTTCACACGTGAAAACTTTGGGCTTGCTGCTGGGAGAGCCGCGGCTGATCTCAGAGGTTTTATAGGAGATTTTTTCTGAGAGGATCTGAGCACTTTCTTTCATGTAGTGCTGCAACTGAACCTGCGATAAATCCTTGAAGGCGACCCCCGCCGGGTACTTGTCCACGGTCGGCAGCACCAGCTTGTTCCGCTCCGCCAGGTAAGCCTTGGACTGCGGGTGCAAGGGAGAGCTGAGGAAATAAGAAGCCACCGGGTGGATGTTGACACTGGAGGACGGGTGACAGGGGCTGTCGCCTCGGTTGAAATAGCACAGGGCTCCCATGGCGTGGAAGGAGGAGTGATTGACCACTCGGGGTCTTACCAGTTTGTACTGCTGCAAGGGCAGGGCATCGCGGGGGAAATCTCCTTTCAAGCTCAGGGCACAGTTCAAGAGATCGCCGCAGCTAAAGGAGGGTGAGGAAGAGGAGTCTAAGTGAGCCTTCCTGGGTTCCGCTCCGGCCACCGCCGCTTTGGGCAGGGTGTCGTACGCCACCGGGACAAATGGGATCATGCAGGGGATGGAAGAGTTGAGATGCAGCGGGTGCTTGGGGTCGCCTTTGGCCACGGAGCCATGGAGGAGCTGCGGGACGGGGATGGAGCGGGGCTCTGGAGTCCGCGCCATGATGCGCTCAATGGAGAAGGCGAGGGGCTTGGGCGTGCTGATCATGTTGCTCCTGGCAGACAGGCTTTCTCTGGCTGGAGGAGTCGCTAGGGTTTTGGTCGCCGTGTGGTGGCCACTATTGTCCATGGCTGAATTGCATTTGTTCGCCCGGTTTGTGCCGCTCTGGTAGACGCCTCTTTTTTTTTTTTTTTTTTTTTTTTTTTCCCTCCTCTCCCCTCTCTCTCTCTTTCACTTTCTCTGCCCCTTTTCTTGTTACTGATCTGCGAGGAGGGAGACCAGCATCATCGCCGCCACCATCACCACAGTCTCCGCCGGCGGAACCAGCCTTCTCAGTCCAGTGGACTCATGCCAGCCCATCACAGTTTACTTTGGCGCACCAATGACTCGGGACAATCGCTACTTATTTCTATCAATAGAAAGTGTTGTGTCAATAACGCAGCCAAGATCTCGCCAATCGTTAACTTCCAAGAGGAGAAGGTAAACTAGATAATTGCTCAATTCGCTTCCAACAGTCAACAGGAAAAGTTTTTTCCCCCCCAGCAAGCGGTTACTTTTCATTGGCGCCCGCGCCTCCCCCGCCCAGGGAAGGAGGTGGCTTTCCCTCCTCTCCGCTCTCCCCTCTGCCTCCCTCCCTCTCTCTTTTTATTATTATTATTTGCAATCTGCTTAACCAAGCTTTAGAGGCCAAGCAAATCCGAGATCAATTTTCTTGTTTGGCTTTAAGTGACATCATCTAAAATCATTGTCCAAGAACTAAATAGGGATGTGAAACCCAATTCAAGGGCAAGCACCAGGGTATTTGTCAAACGAGGTGCTGCAGAAGAAGCGGCTGGAGGGGAAGCTGTTTATTTCCTTGCCACTTTCCAGCCCGAGCTCTCTTTGTGCGTGCGTACGTGTGTGTGTCTGAGGGAGGGAGGGAGATGGCTGCTCTGCTCCTGAGACTGCTCCTGGTCTGCTCACTGCTTTAAAGAACAAGGTCAGATGGTGGTGAGCTTTTGGAAAACACGGTAGACAATTAAGCGGGGGACTTGCGGCAAGCAGACGGCCGGAGCAGCGCGAGGGGAGGCAGGCACCTCCCCGGCCAAATAGAACAAGTGCTTGAGAGCAAAAGGATGACTCAAAACCTGGGGCAGGGGAAGAGAAGAAAAAAGAGGTAGGGAGTGCCTTTTAAAACTGAAGCACTATTTATATATTTTTACATACATATATATATATATATATATATATGTAACCTGCATATACACTAAGTTTAGCTTGTCTGTCCTTATATGATACATGCACAACACAAATACCGAAAACTCAGGGCCGGTATAGATACACGAAGGAATATACAAGCTCCACACTGCTTATAGGTATATATGCACCTAAGCAGATGCGATGCCCATGTATTTAAGAGAAGCTTGACGGCCCTGTTCGGGGCGGGCAGCTCCAGCGGCTGTTCGTACTTACAGCGAAGCGGGGGTGGTCGGGGAGATGAGAGGGGCAGCAGTGGGTATGGGGCTTTCTGTGTTCCCGCCCATCCCACCAGTCGACAATTCGGGCTCAGGACAAGATCCCGTTTTCCCTCCGACCTGGGGTTCACTTGGCTAGTCACTGAGAGGCTGCTACCGAAGTAACCCCAGGGACAAGCCAAGGGTCCCTCCGTTCTTTCCACCTCCCGCAGAGAGCGGCTGGGCCGCTTCCCCCAGCGGAGGGACCCATGGGGCAGCCTTTCCCTCCAGATGTCCAGCGCTGCCTTTCTCCGGGACCGAGGGAGAGAAACAGGAGGTCTCGGTTTTGCTAATGGAGAGAAGCCTCCAGCGAGGCAAGGGAGGCGCGGCCCCCGCTGCTCTGGTACCAGCCGAAGAACCCGAAAAGGCTGTGTCTCCCCATCACCTCCCGGCCCAGGACAACCAACCTGAGGGAAAGTGAGAGCAGGGATGAAGGGCCGGGGACCTGGGGAGGGAAGCAGGAATGGAGGGACGGAAGGAAGGATGAAGGGAGGCATCCTCGCCCTCGGCGGTTGGACCTGGCCGACGCCGCCCCGGGCCACCGCGGCTCCGTTTGAGGAGGGCAAGGCAGCGGCTGTTCCACGACGGTACCTCCGTGGCCGGGAGCTCCGTGCCAGCAACGGGGAGCTGCGGGGGACGGAGGAAGAGAATATCCTGCTGTCTCCGGGACGGACGTCGAACGACGGGCCGTGGCCCGTGCACCCCTCGCTGCAGAGGATGTGCCCCGCACGCCCTGCAACCTCCGTGTCCGCCCCGTCCCGCCGGTGCCCGGAGCGCAGGCGGGCAACAAGAGCCGGGGCTGGCCTCGGAACCTGCCGGGGTGGACACAGCCGTGCGGGCAAGAGTGGGACGAAGGAAGGGTGGAATCCGTGCTGGGCCCTGAGGGGTCTCCAGCCGTGATGCCCCGTTCCAGCCCTGCTCCCTGTTCCCCCCGGCCTGGATGGGGGGCCGTTGACCGGGGCTGCGCCGCTCACCTCCCCCTCCCTACCCCCAGTCCCCCATGGCACATGGGTCAGGGCGTTAAGACCGTAATTGCTGACCCTGATCGGGCTGCCGCACCCGCCTGCCTCTTACCTGCTGCTTCCCGCACTGGCACCGCCAGCCCCGGCTCGGCCGGTGTCACCGACCTGGGGGAGAAGGAGGCAGCAGTGACCCGCGGGGGGGGGGGGGAGGTGGGACGGGGGCCGGAGCCGTGTTCCCCTGCTTCTCCGGTGTGTCGGTGTCTCTCGCGTATTTTGTGTCCGCCAGAGGAGAGTTTCCTCCTTCAGAGCAATTTACATTTAATTCAATCTAGGCAAATTTCCTCTTGATTGGTGCTGAAGAAGGGAATTATTGTTGAGTGGGTTTTAGAGGCTTCAAATCCCATATACTTAATATGTTAACAGCTTGCTCTTAACTGGTCTTTTTGGGATTGACTTTTTGACATGCGTTTGAAAGTAAAATACGTAGTGTCATTTGAGCAGGGTAAATATCCCAAAGCAGCAATTACAGCCCTGCCATTGCAATTATCCTCCATACTGAGATACACTCTTGGAGAAACGGGAGCTTTATTATTCGTTAGTTCCTTTCGGATACGTCTCCCTTTCTTTTTGTACTGTGCAGGAAAACTTATGTTAGTGCCTAATTATTCAATAGCGATCTAAAAGAAACGTTTTTAAAATTTTTTTTTTGGGGAAAGTCATCCCGTTCTGTGTCAGAGATGGAGCCTTGTTAATTCTGGAGTTGCCCGCAGTATAGATAGAGTTACTAAAATCAGTGTCGATTTTTTTCAGTCCTGTCCTGAGCTTTGCCTTGCTCTCGGACCGCATCTTTTTAGCGATTTTGCATATCTGCTGAGCTGCAAATGTCCTGCAGTCGTGCTAGTGCAGGTTTGTTTTGCTAGAGGCAGAAAGATTTACAGGCTCTGAAGGTAGCAATAAGAAACTTCTTGGCCAGTTTCTTTTGGCGGGTTCACGACGGGCCCGGGGCTCCCACCAGTCTGGCGGCACTTATCGAGTCCCGGCAGAAGGGGCCAACGGGGGAAGGAGCGGGCCTGCCGGCCTCCCAGTGTTACGAACCGTCGGAGGAATTAAGGGCAAAAGTTTTGCCTCGAGTTGATTTCGTGCTCTGCCCGGGAAAGCTGCTGTTCTCTTTTTCCCGGTAATCAGCTTTGTGTTTCATTCGCTCCTAAGCTATGTTCTTGATATTGCTCACTTGCATTATTATCATAACGTATCTCTACATGCATTCAAAATCCGAGTCACTGGCGAATTCATCTCGTCGTCAGGATTACTCCAATCCGATCCCAGAAGCGATTAGAGGGAGGTAAAATACCGCCTAAAGCCTAATCTTTAATTTCTTCCCCCTTAATAAAATGAATAATTCCATTGCGTTTTTTAAGTAAAAAATGAATTGAAAAGGATAATAACTCAGCTAACCTTCTGTTGCGTGTATTAATATTTTCCTGGGAGTGTTTTACCACAACGCTCCTGCCCGAGCGGGCTGCTCCCTCTGCGCGCCCGAAGCCGGCTCTCCCCGGCCGGGGAAGGGCAGGGAGGGCAAGCGACCCGCCTGGCTCCGAGGCGTCTCCGAGAAACCTAAGTGTGCGGGTAACCCGGGAGGTTACAGAGCATCCTTCTGGCCGCGACACCAACGGACCCGACAGCGCCTGGCCAGACCCTGATTACTGTTATTATTGTTCTAATAGTCGTCATTAATAGTGCCACCACCGGGATTCGCTGCTAAAGCTCGGGTTTGCGCTCGATACGCATCAGTCCGAGCCGTCCCCTTCCCAGCCATCGAATTTGTGAAGAGGCGATTTATCCCGACACGGAACAGCAGCGCCGTCCTCCCTCAGCCCCGCCACCGCCGTGCCCTGCCCGCGGATCCGTGTCCCCCCTCCCGTCCGCCCGCAGACCCGCCGCGGCTCAGCACGCTGGCCCCGGCTTGTTACAATTCGGAATTAGCTCCCGGCTGCTGCCGGGCTGAAGGGCTCTCTGTTTATTCCCACTCAGGGCTTGTTGTTTACTGTCTTTTGAAGGAAAGTCAAAACATAAACGAGGGAGTTACAGCGAGGGGAAGCAGACCCCGGTGGGTCATCCGCCGTCACCGTTTATCAGCCCGCGCCGCCGTCTTTTTAGGTGGAATCTGCTGCTGCCGCTGCCCGCCCGGCTGCTGGGGTGGGGTACATGGCTCTCAGGCCGACCCGGCCCCGGCGAGGCGAGGCGAGGCGAGGAGGGGGCGGCCGTAGAGCTCGGGCGCACTTCGCAGCAGTCTCGAGCTCTGCTGTTTCGGGAGCGCAGGCAAAGGCGCTTGGGCTTTGGTACGTTAAGTTGTAACACTTCGACGTTTTCTCAACTGACACTTTCTCCGGTGGAAAAAATTAATAATATATGTGCGTGTGTGTGTATGCCTTCAGAGACTATGTGTAGTCTTCCCATACAGTGAGGGTGTGTTGGTATCCTTCTATAGCAGTTCCACTACAAGCAAAAAAATACAGTGCTGCTATTTTTAACCGAATCCATCACAAACGAAAACCAGTTGACACTGACCCGCCCAACACAAGTGTTGCCGGAGGTGAAACAAAGTTTGGAAGTTCTGTACATTTCGTACAGATCCCTCTAAATCGAAAAACAAACTGGTGCAAATTAAGCCTTT